GCGCAACAGAGATAACTGCGTCTTGCCCTAATGCTAGGTGTATGCGACGGATTGGAGCCCGGACGGACAGAGGGTAGCGAGTGGAGGGAAGGATAAGTGTTTGCGGATGTGAGTAAGCTATTGTCTGTCCATAGAGGATGTTGCAGCTTCTCCATGTGTCCTTCAGACTGCAAGTCTCCTTGCAGAGACCTGCATGGTTAGGGCATGGTCTCTCCTTGCAGAGACCGTGACACTGGGCCAGATTTCAGCCTGGAGGCCTGACCTCCCTCAGGGCAGGAACTGCTGCTGTCCCCTGGGGGATGACTAGAAAGCAGAGTCCCTCCAACTGAGCAGTCAGTGGTGAAATTTGACTCAGATGTTTTGGCTCCTGGAGAGGGAAGGCACAGTTGTACCAGTCGGTCAGACTCTTCCTTGCTTGCCTTCCTCCGTCTCCCAGTTATGCAGACAGACAAATTCCCGTAAGCTGGCTGCCATTTGATCGTGGCTGATAAAGGAACCTGGTTCCCAGGCCCCGCTGTGCTGCTCTCGTACGGTACCTCTGGGCTGTGTGGCAGCGCCGGTGCTGCACCGCAGGGACGCAGCAGCTCTTTTCATTTGCAGATGGCGTCGATAGGAGCAGCAACGCGAAGCCACCGGTCCTGTCCTAAGCTGGCCTGCCCGTCGGCGCAGTCTGCCTGGGAGATGTGCGAGGTGATGGATGGTAGAGGCCAAGCCGAGCACGACTCCCTATTCCTGTTGGCTGCTCTCCCTCATGGACTCTTTCCTTATATTTATTTAAGGAAATTTTAATTCCAGTTCTTATTAAGTGCTGTTCTTTGCAGGATGATTTCCTCTGAACATTACAGGAGGGAGATCTCGTCTGCCTCCATCGCAACTGGCTTTTTATTGAAATTTCAGCCTCACAGTGGCCGGCTGCCTCGAAGGGGGCAAGCACAGGGTGGGGGCAGCTCATGCCCTTGCTGTGTGAAGAATCACGCAGGGAAAAGGCTTTCAGTGGGAAGAGAAAGGGTTGTCCTTGTGTTGACTTGGAGAGGAAGGGGAAAATCCAGCACATCATTACATTGCAGAATTGTGCTCGGCTACAGGCCTGGGACAAAGATCTGCTGAGAACAAGGTCTCGGGGCTTCTCGTTATTCCAGTAAGGTTTTGCCTTTCCACTCAGCTCATTTCCCTGTGGGCTGTGCTGAGCATTATCTGTTAGTGATCCTCCGCACCCGCAGCAGATAACTCATTCGCTCGTCCGTTCAGGGTGCAACAGGCATGGACTTCAAACAACTGCTAGAGCTGTGCTGAGTTCTCAGGTCTCAGTGGCTCTTGGAAATGGGGAAATGAGGCACCCGTGCCTCTGGACAGGGGGGAGAGCACCCATTTCCCATCCACTGCCAGCTCAGGGGAAGGGAGGAAGGAAGGAAGGGGTGGGAAAGGGGAAGAATGGAGCAGGCATTTTGGGTGCTGTCTGTCCCTTGCCTTGGATACGTGGTGACAGCAGGGCTGGGGCTGTCACAGTAAATGGCAAAACTTCCATTGCACAGAGTTTGCTCCTTCTGGAATTTGTCAAGTGCATTTACTTGCCCAGTGGGTGAGAGGGATTCACAGTCAGTTATAGATTTGTAAGCTTGCTTATGAGCCTTTTTATAAGTCAATTCAGGCTTCCAACAATCATGAAGCAAATAAACCTGGATTTAGTGTTTATTTCCAGGATGCTTTATGAAACAATGAAAATCAAGATGTGATTAATAAGGAATAGAGATTATATTGTCAGATTTAATTGCAGCAAGCTAGCGTGAAGGCCAAAACATTCTCCGTAGCTCTCATACTGCAGTTGCTACTCAGTAATTACTACAGCTTGGAACAGGAGTTTGGGTCTCAGATGCTTCCCAGCTGCAGAAGGTGCGTTGCAGGACTTTTAATCCTGCTGGCAAGACTGGTGTGGAGAATTAAGAGGGAATGGCACAGTAATGGCCATTTGCTTGTCTGCAAGTGTTCGGGTGAGCAAAAGTCTGGAACAAAGGGTTAAGTCTTTCATACAACTGAGAACAGAAATTGCGGTTCCTGTTGTTAGTATCTCTGCCAGCCAAGTCAGCAGGCTCTATCTTCATGGGATCTTTTGGGAAGAGCTCAATATCCTGTACCTGCTCTTTCATGAACGTGCTTCCTCCAGCTGGTTCTTGCTGACAGTGAAGGCCATGTTGCATCCATCTGCATAAACAAAACCTTTCGCAATTGACCAAGGTAAATCTTGTGGGACGGGGTGATTTAGAACTGTAGCTGATAATTCGGCCTCGCCAGACCGCTGTGCCCTTGGGAAGGAGAGGAGCACGCTTGCAGCTGCCGGATCTCTGCTAACAGCTGAGAAGCCTGCCAGTTTTGGAGGTTTTTGGGGTGCCTGTGCTGAGGGGAACAATCCACCTTTGGGAGTTCAGCTCTGTGTCCCCGGGTTTGACTTGCTGAAAGCGGCAGTTTCTGCAGCTCCTGGTAGTCCATGGCTCTTTCCGAGGGAAGGAGCATCGGTCTTTGCTTCCTCTCCCAAAGTGCTGCGTGGGGTCACTGTGTCCTGTTAATCCCGGGCACGTTTTGTGTTAGAAGTGGGGATGTGTCAGAGCCAGGGGACGTGATCTGCCTGCAGGGACTGGCATGGCTGTGCGTGTGTGTACATGCACCTGAAGACCACTTGCACCGACTTCCAAACCAACCCAGCCCTGCCCTTCCATCCCACCCTCTGACCGTGCTCCTAACCTAGGCTAGCTCCTGCCATCCCTTCAGACTCTGCTTCTGCAAGGTTAAGCACCAAACAGAGCCTGACTAAAACCCACCTTCCTAATGCTGGAGCAGAAAGCTTTTCCAAAGCAAGGTGAGACCTCTCGAAGAAAGAGAGGGCCTTGCAAGTTAGTTTACACCAAAAGAAGCTATCTTGGTCTTAATCTTTCTGTGGCCTGATAGCAGGTAGATTTTGACCTACACTATGTGATGGGTTTGCACGTAGACCAAATCTTATTCTCCTATCTGAGCAGCTGCTACTATTTTTATCATTCATACAGTATTAGCTTTCATGCATGCTAAGTGCTGGCCCCGTTCCAGCTGTATTCCTAAGCAATCCCGTAACGCTCCTCCCTGTTTTATTCGAATGCGGCATTTCCCGGGCCTGGCTCTGCAGTCTCCTGCCTGCTCTCGCGCGCTGGGGAAGAGCTGCTGCCCTTCGCTTCGGAGGTGGCTCCTTTTTGGCAGGAGGCGAAGCAAGCATGCAACCTCCCTCATTCTCCTGCTGATGGTGATGTGAGCTTTAATGAGCTAATTTTTAGAATTGCAGATTTGGGTCGATGGTGTTATTAATGGGGAATTCATTACTTTTTGTTAAAGGACAAATCTAGAAGGTAGGCTGGAGCTTTCTGAGTGTTTTTCCGGGAACCACATCGCTAACCGTACAAAAAACCCTACTGAAACATCTGAAATTTTCCAATGCTGTGTGATGACAACATCAGTCTCTGCTGCTGTGTTTCAATCCAGTTTCACCCAAGTTATTTGTTAAACGTACCACACAGGTATGCCTACCTCAAGGGCATTATTTTTCACTGATAATATGAGAATAATTTCAGGCATATCCCGAAAGTGTTTGTCCTGCAGAGCCCTCTGACCCCTCCTCCTTTAAAAACTGTGATAGCTCAGCTGATGCCACCATTAATTTTGTTACAAATGCCCGATGGGAGGACAGTGATGGTAAGGACTGGGAACCATGCCAGTCCTCCAAGAAAGGTTTACCTGTCTCATAAATTCCTGGGTATGATGGAGGGAGGGAACGACAGAGACAAGAAAATGAAGAGAGCACCCAGGGCGAAGTAGATCATTTGGGATAGCGCTGAGATGAGCAGGACAGTGCCAGACTCATGCCTTAGGGGGTTGATTTAGATACGTGAGGCTTTAACACCCTTCTGAAAACGGATCTCGGGGCTGTGTGTGCTGCTTATCCACAGAGGAGGGCCGGGCAAGTGGCGTACATGTTGTGCTCCCAGGGTCCTTGGAGCCAGGCCTTCATGTTCTACTCGACTCAGCTGATCTCTTGATTATTTTCCCAGACCAGTAATTTAACTTCATGTGCATGTTTATAGCCTGGGGAGAGATACAAGAAAAATCTTTTGATGAAAGCATACTTCTGTGTACTCGGACAAGCAACCTGGAAGGTGCTAATTCCTTACTAGATCTGGTGCTTCTGTGAGCATGAATCCTGGCACACATCTGAGGGGCGAATTTGGCTGAAACAATGTAGTGCAGCTGCGGCAGAGCCACAAATCCATCTCCAGTGCTGTTATTCTGTATTTTCTTCACCCTGCCCCTGTAAATCAGTGGTCCTTGCTGAGCTGTAAGTCGCTGGTGGTCTCTGTCAGGGGGCTGCAGCTTTTGCACGGTATGATGTTAAAAATAAACAAACTCAGGCCACAGTAGTCTGTGCTTTTGAAGGACCACTGCGCTCGGTTAGACATGATACTGGTGCACGCTGCCCAGCTATGCTTTTTTGAGCACGCTGGGTATTTTATTGTCCTGCCGCGTGGCTTGTCAGAGCAGAACAGTGCATCCCTCCGAGTGCTGCAGGGCTGCCGCTGCCTGCCAGCACTAAATGGCAAATATCTGTGTGTACTCGTTGGGCGAGAGGAGTAGCACAAGCCCTATGGGGCTATCGTGTGTCGCTCTCCCAACATCTCTAATAATGAGGCTCCCTTTGGGAAAGGCAGACAAATACAGTGCGCTCTGTCTCTGACCTCTTTCAGCAGCAAAAGCAAGTGAAGGTGCTGTTTGTAAATAGGTTTACTGTAGTCCACTGGTGCTGGAAAGGTTGACACCTTCCCAGAGATTAGGCAAGGACCCAGCTCAAATGAGCGACCTGCATGCAAATCCCACAGCCCTTCGTCGCGTGGTTTTTCAGACATCAGCCCTTCAGATCCCGTTCAAATCCCAGTGCGACGGCAGCTTGTTTAGTTATTCTGGTCAAACATCCCTGCCGCTCCTGGCTGTTTTGTCCTTGCTGTGCTGAAACAAACCTGCTTGAGGGCTCCAACCCCGGTACGGGGACAAAAGGACATCAGGCTTGCCGCTACTGAAGGGAAATGTGGCTCATTTTTGAAGTGTAATGCAGAATGGGTGGTTTAGAAATTCCTGAAGTGGCTTTCTCTGTTCAAAAGGCATCTTTCTGGTGTGGTTTTTTTTTTAAGCTTCCCTAAAATGCAGCTTGTGACATTGACTTTGGGGTAAGCATACACGCTGATGCTGAGAGGATGAATACTGAATGTGAGAGTCGGTGGATTGCAATAAATAGCCAATTCTCAGGGAAATTATCTTCTGAATTAGAATATTTAACACGTTGAGACTTGTGGGCTTTTTCCTGGTTTTAAAGGGGCACTGTGAATGCCAGAAGTACTAGAAAAGTGTCTGTGTCACTACCAACACCTTAATTTATGATTAACTTGGAATATTTTTACATCTCATTTATTCCTTCCACGGGGGTATTCTGAGCCACTGAAATTACTTGGTCAGCTTTGCTTTCTCTGTTTTGTTTGCTAGGTTAGCGCCATGAGCGGATTTTGGATGGGAGCTCAGAACTTCAGGAAATAAAAAGGAGATTTGGTCTTGAGGGGGTTTTGGTCTGGAGAGGATTTAAAGCCCTTTGATTCTCTTTGGCACAAAGTAGATGCCTTGGAATTCTTCTGATGCCTCCATATAATGTCTAGAGCTTACAAGGTCCTTTATAAAGGTGTCAGTATTTCCTTAAGTATCTCTTGCCGAGTATTTTTTTTAATCCAGGTGCATTGTTTTTGGAGAAGTCTTGGGCTTTGGCATGGCACACAGCTCCAGTGGTACTTGGCTTTGTGTGCCAGAAAGCAGAGGTGAGTGAAGAATAGGAGAGGACGACCTGCCTAACTCTGCTCGGTCTCTATTTTGATGTAGCAGCGCTGAAAGCAGACCCGATACCACGTGAGAGAAGACGCAGCACAGCAAAGTGGGGTCGGAGCTCTGCCCTGCGTGAACCCAGTGCGCTCCTTGTGCCGTCTGTAACTTCGCGGAGGGTCGATCACCGCTGCTGCGGTGTCAGAGTGCCGAGGGGGTCTGGGGCAGATGGGGATATTGAGGAGGCCTGAGACAGCTCCAGGATGCGGAGGTGGCATGATGGAGAACGCAGATAGAGAGCAGCGAGTAATGGAAAGCAAAGGAAAGGAACGTAATTATGTAGATCTGGAGGTAAAGGTCAAAGGCTCCATGTGACTGGTGTGTGGTGGCGGGTTGCTTCTTTTTAATGTTTGTACGTGTCGCTGTAAACAGCCCCAGGCTGATCTAAAAGTGCTGGGAGGCAGAGGCTGTAAATTAAAGAGGTTGTTCTCCTTATAGAGCGAGCGAGCAACTTGAAGTGTCTTTGGCTTACAGCCCTTTGCATGCTTGTTCCTCCATTGCTTCTCCATTTGTTTAAGTTCCTTGTGTTGGGTCTGCCATCAAGTCTTGCTCGAAATGGCGCCAGGGCAGCGTGGGTTGGCAGGCGGGATGGCTCTGTACCTGCTGTCCTGCCAGCCTCTCCTGCCTCCTCCAGCCCTCC